CCATGCCCAACCAATGGGCCTCGCCCAGCCAATGGGCCACACCCAGCCAAAGGGCCACACCCACCCAGCACCCGACGATGCATAAGTGGGTTTTGGGTTGCAGTTTGGGCACTCGGTCTCTAAAAGGTTCTCCATCACTGGCCTAGGACAACGACTGGATGCCCTGCAAGATTCCTTCTGATTAATCTATTCTGTGATCCTATTGGATTGGCCACTCTCTTCTATCTCATTCAATTAAACTTTGAAACCCTGTCTGGACCTTCCAAAGCCAGATGGGATCTTACAGAGTTCAGAGTGATGTTCTTTATCCTTCACATTAACAAAAAACAGTTATTTGCTCATTCCCTCATGTCACATTTCTAGGGTTGGTCTCCGAAGAGAATTCTGGACATAAACATCAGTCTCAAGAAAAAAAAAACACACACACACCATAAAATGTCATCTTGCATGAGAAATGCTGAAGAGCTCAATAGCTACAATTTCAGTGAATGTCTGGGACAATGCTAAGGAATCCTTTGGTTCCTTTGAATGTAATGCATTTCCTCCTTCTGGCTTTATCTGAGAATAAGAGAAGCTACAAGACAGGAGACCGACTCAGATAGATCAATGATTTTCTTTCTTTTCCTTCTCATGCTGCTTCCTCATGTAGCTGATGGGAAGCTCGGCTTGAAATGCCCTCTGAACTTGAAGAGGAATGAAGCCGACCCACTAAATTATTACAAGCCAGGAGACTTTCTTCTGGGTGGGGTCATTGGCGCAACTAGAACATCCTTCCTCCCTTTTGATTTCAGCAGGAGCCCCTCTGTAAAGATGTTTGGGTAGGTACAATGAAACTGCTTCTCTGCTGGTCATTGCTAATTTCCAGACTTGTATGATTGCACTATTTCACTGTCATCTTTCGTCCATTGCTGTCTTCTTGTGTTGGAGACAGATGGGGGGGGGGGGGGAGAGGTGTGGGGTAGAATTCACAAGGCAGGGTTGCAATGATCCTTCAGACAGAACAGTGGTAGTTCCTCTTGACAACAGTTTTTTTTTAATATGAATATTTTATTAATTTTCTAATTTAACAATCATAAGTACTTAATAAACAATGTGTTGTCTGGGTCCATTAGTAATTCAGTGGTACATATTAATAAGGTACCAATCGTCCTCCTTTAGGGAGGACAGTCCTTCTTTTGTTAGTTCTATCCTGTCTTGAAAAGTGTCCTCCTACATGTCCTCCTTTTCGATATTTGAAGACTAATCTGTAAATCTCCGTATTCGATCGATGCCGATCCAATCCGATCCGTTGCATGTGATGTGATGTATTTGTATTTGACATGATGATTCGTCAAGGCTCGGTACAGTGCAGCAAGACACAATTATGAGATGCATGCGCTCTGCAAAGAATTGTTTTGAGAGAGTGCGCTGCACGCAAGAGTGCGCCGCACGCAAGTGGCTTTTTTTACTTCTTATCGAAACACGACAAGGCACACACGCACGCATTAGACTCACTTTTTTTTCCTTCAATTTATTTGTATCCTCCTTCTCATTGTAAAAAAGTTGGTCACCTTAATATTAACTTTCTCATTCTAGTTCCAATACTACACCCTCTAGTGCTTCCTTGATCCTCTCTTCTTCAGGTGGTATGCATTTTTCTACACTGGGCAAATATAATTCTTGTTACTGTTAATACATATACAATTAAACAGTTTAGGAGGCAAAGCTGTAAAAACAATATCTCCTGTGTCCAGTGTCAAGACTGTGCTGTGTTTCCCCTGAACTGTATCCGAAGAGGGATAAGAGGGGAGGAGGAGGGAAGGAAGGAAGTTGGAAGGGAGGAAGGGATGAGGGGAGAGAGGAGAGGAGAGAGGGAGTAGGGAAGTAAGGAAGGAAGGCTGAGAGGGAGGATGCAGTTGGGGGGAGATTGACGAGCGACACCTAAGGTTCGATTTTAAAGGTATTTTTCTCTTTTTTTAGTTTTATATATAATGTATGGAAAGTATTATATGTATTGAAAATTTAAATAAAATTTTGGAAAAAAAATACATATAGTAATAGTAATAGTAGTAAAGTTGGAAGGGACCTTGGAGGTCATCTAGTCCAACCCCCTGCTCGGGCAGGAAACCCTAAACCATTTCGGACAAATGGCTGTCCAGTCTCTTCTTAAAAACTTCCAGTGTTGGAGCATTTACTGCTTCTGGAGGCAAGCTGTTCCACTGATTAATTGTTCTCACTGTCAGGAAGTTTCTCCTTAGTTCTAGGTTGCTTCTCTCCTTGATTAGTTTCCACCCGTTGCTTCTTGTCCTGCCTTCAGGTGCTTTGGAAAATAGCTTAATTCCCTCTTCTTTATGGCAGCCCCTGAGATATTGGAATACTGCTATCATGTCCCCCCTTGTCCTTCTCTTCGTTAAACTAGACATACCCAATTCTCGCAACCGTTCCTTATATGTTTTAGCCTCCAGTCCCCTAATCATCTTTGTTGCTCTTCTCTGTACTCTTTCTAGAGTCTCAGCATCTTTTTTACATCGTGGTGACCAAAACAATTAAACAGTTTAGGAGGCAAAGCTGTAAAAACAATATCTCTTGTGTCCAGTGTCAGGACTACTCTTTAGATCTGATTTTCCCATTTGGGGTGTACAAGTGCAAAGATATCAGCCCATTCACAACCTTCTGCATCAGGAGTGCATCTTCTCAAATGTAAAGTCATCTCTCCATTCCGTAATGTGGAGGACGCTCACTGTTTTCAAACATCTGGACATAGGGGTCTTAACTGAGGTAGCATGTCTTCACTCCCCCCCCCCTCATTATGATTCATTATTTAATGGTACGTGTTGATATGAAAAGAAAATGCTTGAAAGTGTTCCCTTTGTGCTGGAAAAGAGAAAATGGTGGAGACATGGGAGAGCTGCTTCTCTCTATATATAGTAACTATGAGAGGGACCTCGGAGTCCTAGTAGACAATCACCTACATATGAGCCAGCCGTGTGCTGCAGCTGCCAAAAAGGCCAACACAGTGCTAGGCTGCATTAACAGAGGGATAGAATCAAGATCACGTGAAGTATTAATACCACTCTTACAATGCCTTGGTAAGGCCACACTTGGAATACTGCATCCAGTTTTGGTCACCACGATGTAAAAAGATGTTGAGACTCTAGAAAGAGTACAGAGAAGAGCAACAAAGATGATTAGGGGACTGGAGGCTAAAACATATAAGGAACGGTTGCTAGAATTGGGTATGTCTAGTTTAACGAAGAGAAGGACAAGGGGGGACATGATAGCAGTATTCCAATATCTCAGGGGCTGCCATAAAGAAGAGGTAATCAAGCTATTTTCCAAAGCACCTGAAGGCAGGACAAGAAGCAACGGGTGGAAACTAATCAAGGAGAGAAGCAACCTAGAACTAAGGAGAAACTTCCTGACAGTGAGAACAATTAATCAGTGGAACAGCCTGCCTCCAGAAGCATTAAATGCTCCAACACTGGAAGTTTTTAAGAAGAGACTGGACAGCCACTTGTCCGAAATGGTGTAGGGTTTCCTGCCTGAGCAGGGGGTTGGACTAGATGACCTCCAAGGTCCCTTCCAACTTTACTACTACTACTATTATTATTATATATCTGAGAGCCGTGTTTTCAAGACTAGGAGCAAAGGAGGGACATTTCAAGGGAGCAGGAGTGTAGCTGCTGGGATAGCTGTGGAAACACAGGAGCTATTTCACAGCACAGGAGGAGGTGACTTCTTTCCCTAGAAGTATCTCAGCGAAGTATGGGTGGACACTGGTAAAAGTCCCAAAGGTGCTTTTTCAGGAGGCAACTGGACTTCCTTGTTTTTCTTTGAAGACGTTTCGCTTCTCATCCAAGAAGCTTCTTCAGCTCTGACTTAATGGTAGGGAATGGAAGGATTTATACTCCTTGCAGACAGCTGGTCATTTGCATTCTTTTAGAGAGTCGTTGAGGCCATCTGGAGGTTTACCTGTGTCCTCAGGGTCACCTGAGTAGTGAAAATGTGGTTGGAGCCTTCTTGGCTGCAGTAGGTTTTTTTTCACCTTGCCTTGGAAGTTTTGGAATATTAAACATGGTAAAGCTTAAATATTAAAACTTCCTGCTTGAACAATGTGTAGATAACACCAATGAGTTTTATCTGAATTTGGTCTTAGAATTCCTGGGTCAATTACAAGGATCACTGAAGGAGATTTCCAGGGCTGAACAAAAAAGGGATCTTCCCAGCTTAAAACACAACATTCAAGAGGGATCCTGGTGAGGTTAGAAGTCCTAATAAAAAATATCTGTGACAAAACGGCATTCAAAGCATTAATTTTAGATACACCATCACACCTTCGCTGATTTTAAAGAATGCTTTTGCAGTGAAATTCGAAGGAGGCTTTTTCCCATTTTGTAATGCACACTAATGCATCTAAATTTTTGTTCTTGTTTTCATTATTTTACTTAACTTCAAATTTCCTATCTATAAAACTATTTCAAATAGATCAGTGGTTCTCAACCTGTGGGTCGGGACCCCATTTGGGGTCAAACGACCATTTCACGGGGGTCGCCAAACAAGGCTGTCCGCCATTTTTCCCCCTTTTCTTTGGCCACGCCCCTGGCACCCGGTGATGTATAAGTGGTTGGGGGTCACCACAACATGGGGAACTGTATTATGGGGTCGTGGCATTAGAAAGGTTGAGAATCACTGAAATGGATAATGGTGATAATGACATTAAAAAGTATTGCTGAGTATTTACTACATGCAGACATCTTTTTATTCACTGGCTGGTAATTCATTTTAGATTTAAACAGAAACCATTGTGGAGTTATATAAAAATGACATTATTTTCATTAACGATGGTTTGAAATTTATATATTTTCAGGAAGGGAAGCCTGCTGACTTGGAAAATTCTCTCCTTTCCTTTTGCAATCCAAGGGATCAACCAAGATCTCCATTTCCTACACAACATCTCTCTGGGTTACAGTCTCCATGACAACCATTTCAACACAATCCTGACTTTGGATGCTTTGCTGAGTATGCTTTCCACCGGAGTAGTAAATATTCCAAACTACAGATGTGGAAGCCATAATGGGCCCTTGGTAGTTTTGGATGGGTCCAATGATGATATCTCCATGCAGATTTCAAACATGTTGGGCATTTATAAGATTCCACAGGTATGTGTATGTGTTGGGGGACACAACTTCTAGTTTGATTTTTCCGTGTAAATAAAGGGCAGCTTTTCATCATTGTAACCGTTGGCCTAATGCAATTGGAGCTGGTTTAAAATTCACAAAGAGACCAAATACTCAAAACATTCAGATCTCTAATATTTAGTAAATCTGAATTTATTTATAAAAGAAACATCTTATATTCAAGGCTAAGAAGAACAGGCTAAAACCTATGAACATACCAATCAGAAAAACTGTCAAATGAACATAGTCCTTGACAAAATGTTGAAGTGTCTTCTTCTACCATATAAGGACCAGGATTTCTAACATATTTATTTATTTATTTATGAGACTTATATACCGCTTTAAGTGCAAGCATTCTCTAAGTGGTGTACACCAGTAAGCAATGTATATATATATTTACATTGCCCCCAACAATCTGGGTTCTCATTTTACCTACCCCGGAAGGATGGAAGGCTGAGTCAACCTTGAGCCGGTGAGATTTGAACCGCTGACCTGCTGAATACAGTCAGCTAAAGTGGCCTGCAGTACTGCACTCTAACTGCTTTGAGTTGGATTTGACTCAACGTGTAACCTATCCTTCTTTTCTTTTTCAGATCAGTTATATTTCTGTTTCAGAGACTCTGAATGAGAAGTCCAACTCCCCTTTTTTCTATCAAGTGGTCCCCAAAGAAGGCATTCAGTACCCCACAATTATTAAACTGCTCCAGCATTTCAGGTGGACATTGGTCGGTCTGATTGCACCAGACACAGATGGTGGAGAGAAGTTCATGAGAACTTTGAGTCCTCTGCTTGTCAGGAATGGCATTTGCATTGTTTTATCCCAAAACATCCCTGTGACTACATATCATGTAATGATAAATGCTTTTCAATTCTCCAAGTGGACACAAGTCAATGTCTTTATTTACTCTGCCGAATCTGATTCCTTCATAATGGGAATAATCATTATGCAAGATATAATTGAAAACCACATAAAAGCCAGAACTGGAAAGGTCTGGATCACTACAGCTTTGTGGGATTTTACTTTGGAGTTGCAGTATAATGAACAGATTATTCCAGCCATCTATGGCTACATTTCCTTTTCGATCCAGACTGGCAGAAATGCCAAATGGGATGATTTTGAGTCTATGTACTATTTAACTATAGACTTTATAAACAAAATGTTTAGTTGTTCATATTCTAAGCATGGCTTGTCCATGAAAGGCTGGACAAGATGCCCAGAGAATAAGTATGTAGAAGCAATGCCCCAAGAGAAGATTGAAGAAATCCTGTCTCTGGACAGCTACATCATTCATCGCTCTATCTGGACTGTGGCCAGGGCCTTAAATGCCATATATTCATCCAGATCCAAGAGGAAAATCAAGGATGAAAAAGACCAATTGCCTTTTCAGCAGTTACAGTCATGGCAGGTATTCCCTTGACGTAACCCCACTTTTGCCATTTTTTTCTGTTTTCTTTTAACTGTAGACTTATCTATGAAGTTTATTATTTTATTCAACGATTTAATTTTCCTGACTATAAAGGCTAACTGTATCCCTTTATTCATATTAAAGCATCTCTCATTCCATCTACTATTTATTTTCCATTTCCTTTTATTTTTCAGATCTTCATTAAAGTTTTAATATAGAAAGTTAGTGTCTTCTGTCCTCCTCCATTCTTTGCTTTGTTGGCTTTGTGATTTTCTTTTAATAAGATCCTTTTATGTTATGGTTTTAACATGATCACACCATCTATCTTCAGCTTCTCTCCCCTAGCAATTTAGCTTTAAGGAGCTTTGCTCTAAGCTGAACTCCTTTACTCTGTGATCCAAGATATGAATTTGAATTCATTCACATTGAATTCATTCAAACAAAGAAGTTGAGACTCTAGAAAGAGTGCAGAGAATGAAGATGAGTAGAGTAGAGTAGAGTAGAGTAGAATAGAATAGAACAGAATAGAATAGAATAGAATAGAATAGAATAGAATAGAATAGAGAATGGCTATGGGATTGGAGGCTAAAGTATATAAAGAACGGTTGCTGGAATTGGGTATGCATAGTTTAATGAAGAGAAGGACGATGGGGGACATGATAGCAGTGTTCCAATATTTCAGAGGTTGCCACAGAAAAGAGGGGGTCAAGCTATTCTCCAAAGCGCCTGAAGGCAGGACAAGAAGCAACGGATGGAAACTAATCAAGGAGAGAAGCAACCTAGAACTAAGGAGGAATTTCCTGACAGTGAGAACAATTAATCAGTGGAACAACTTTCCTTCAGAAGTTGTGAATGCTCCAACACTGGAAGTTTTTAAAAAAGAGTTTGGACAAACTTTTATCTGAAATGGTATAGGGTTTCCTGCCTGAGCAGGGGGTTGGACTAGAGGACCTCCAATGTCCCTTCCAACTCTGTTGTTCTATTCTATTCATTCATGTTTGGAATGAATTCAATGAATATTCTAAAGGTCTTTCACTTTATTAATGCAGACTTGTGCTTTATAATATAAAGAGTTTTTTTTTCTTATAAGCATTTCTTGCCAGAGCCATGGAGTTTACTATTGAACTCCAAGGTCAGTGTTTACTATGTTTTTCTGTTAGTACATAAAATTAAGAACCCTAAAATAAGAAGATCATTTTCCCCCAATGTTTCTGTGACTCTCCTTTTTCAACTTCTCTATGGTGCTGGAGAAGACTCCTGCGAGTCAAACCGGTCAGTCCTAGAAGAGATCAACCCCGACTCCTCTTTAGAAGGCCAGACCCTGAAGTTGAAACTCAAATACTTTGGCCACCTAATGAGAAGGAAGGACTCACTGGAGAAGGGCCTAATGCTGGGAAAGATTGAGGGCAATAGAAGAAGGGGGTGACAGAGAATGAGATGGCTGGATGGAATCACTGAAGCAGTAGGTGTGAACTTAAATGGACTCCAGAAGATGGTAGAGGACAGGAAGACCTGGAGGAATGTTGTCCATGGGGTCATGATGGGTCAGACACGACTTCGCAATTAACAACAACAACAACAATGGATTATTACCAAGTCAGACTAAACAAACTTCTTGTTCCTTTTTCTGAAGGAGAAAGTGATCAAGAAGCTAATGGAGCAATTCCTGGAAAGGCCATGCTTGACCATCCCCCCCCCCCCCAAAATAGATGTCCAGGCAATGAAAATCTCCCACTATCATCACAATTTTTGACATGCCATGATGAAAACCAGATGATCTTACAAATCCTGACCACTGCTTATCTTGGCTGTGGTCAGCTGAGATGTCAAATAACAATTCTAAATAATCTAGAGAAGGCATAGACTAGATAATTGCACCCAGGATACAGAGAGAAATTCCTGCTAATGGTAAGCTCTATGGGTAAACACAGATGTGGAAGTGCAGAACTGTGTATAATTGTACTATTAGAATTCCTGTCCTTTTTTTCCCCTTCCCTTTTGGCTCTTATTTTAGTTTCATCATTTCCTGCAAGACGTTTTCCAGCTTCACAATAACTCTTTGGATGGATTATATCTGGATGAAAATGGAGAGCTAGCTGCTGATCTTGACATCATGAGCTGGTTCCAGTTTCCCAATATGTCAGTTGTCCGGTCAAAATTTGGAAGCTTAACAAAACAGCAATCAGGAGAAGCCATGCTTACTATTGATCAGGATGCAATGATGTCCCCCAAATGGCTCAACCAGGTAAAGAAAATCTTTCTTCCTCAGTTGTTTGAAGGTTGGACCATGGCAACTGGACTTATTTTTCTTGTTAGTTGAGACATTTCGCTGCTCTTCCAAGCAGCTTCATCAGCCAGAGCAAGTTAATTAATTAATAGATGGGAAAATCATCAAATGTGTAGATGATACCAAGCTGGCAGGAACAGCCAACACTCCAGAAGACAGGCTTAAGATACAGGAGGATCTGGACAGACTTGAACACTGGGGGCTATCCAACAAAATGAAATTCAATGGTGAAAAAAATAAGGTTCTATATTTAGGCAAGAAAAACCAAATGTACAGGTATAGGATAGGGGGTACCTTGCTCAAGAGTAGTAACTGTGAGAGGGACCTCGGATTCCTAGTGGACAATACCGTAAATATGAGCCAGCAGTGTGCTGCAGCTGCCAAAAAGGTCAACACAGTGTTAGGCTGCGTTAACAGAGGGATAGAATCAAGATCATGTAAAGTATTAATACCACTTTACAATGCCTTGGTAAGGCCACACTTGGAATACTGCATCCAATTTTGGTCACTACAATATAAAAAAGATGTTGAGACTCTAGAAATTGTGCAGAGAAGAGCAACAAAGATGATTAGGGGACTAGAGGCTAAAGCATATAAGTAAAGGCTGCTGGAATTGGGTATGTCTAATTTAATGAAGAGAAGTACGAGAGGGGACACAATAGCAGTGTTCCAGTATCTCAGGGGCTGCCACAAAGAAGAGAAAGTTGAGCTATTTTCCAAGGTGCCTGAAGGCAGGACAAGAAGCAACGGATGGAAATTAATCAAGTAGAGAAGCAACCTAGAACTAAGGAGAAACTTCCTGACAGGTAGAACAATTAACCAATGGAAAACAGAAGCTTTGACCTCTTAGAGGGGATATTGCATTATCAATTAGATCAGTGGTTCTCAACCTGTGGGTCGGGACCCCATTTGGGGTCGAACGACCATTTCACGGGGGTCGCCAAACAAGGCTGTCCGCCATTTTTCCCCCCTTTTCTTTGGCCATGCCCCTGGCACCCGGTGATGTATAAGTGGTTGGGGGTCACCACAACATGGGGAACTATATTATGGGGTCGCGGCATTAGAAAGGTTGAGAACCACTGAATTAGATGCTTGAATATAGTTAAGAATGGATTGCTAGAAATAGAAATATTATTATAACTAGGTCAGGAGTAGGCAACCTTGGCTCTTTTATGCTGGCTCAGGAAATCTGGGAGTTGAAGTCCACGAGTCATAAAAGAGCCAAGGTTGCCTACCCCTGAACTAGGTAGATAAGACTGGTAATCAGAATATCATATTTTGGCATGAAAAGGGAAATAAGAAAATGCTAAGAAGTTTGAATAAGGGAAGCTTTTGGTTACCCAAATATAACTTGTTTTCAAATTATAAATGATTAGGATATTTTGAATATGGATGGGAATATAAAACTGAAAAAAAAGCGAAAATAGGATACTGACTGATTAAATGGATATTGAGTGCAAATACAATTAAGATATGTTTTGGTTAGAAAAGATATTTTAAACTGATATCATTGATACTATTAGAAAACTGTAATAAATGCTGATATTCAACTGTATATCTACTAATAACAATAAGAATTTATTTGCTTAATGTGGAAAAATGTTTATTACTGGAAGAAGAGAGGATGTATTGGATGGTGTAATATTGGATTTAGTTTGAAGAAGCTTATATGTACCACAGAATTACTAATGGACCCATTCAACACATTGTCTATTAAGCACTTGTTTGTAAAAATAGAAAATTAATAAAATATTTGTATAAAGAAAACTATTCTTGCTCTGATTTACAAATGTTTCAGACCTTTTTGCCCCGGGAACCATATTTTCATCTCTCCAATTCTTCCCAGAGGCCCCACAGATGGTGCCGAAACCCATCTATGTTCAACAAGACCAGGTCATCTTAGACAGCCACCAAGTAGCTATCAGCAGAAGCTATAAGGACAAACTCCATACATTTCCTATATATAATCTTTGATGTTCCTTCTATTTTTGTTTAGTCCCTCCCTGAATCTAAGTGTGTGGAGAGTTGCCATCCAGGATTTGTCAAGGTGCCTCGGGAAGGGAAGCCCCCTTGCTGCTACGACTGTGTGTCTTGTGCAGAAGAGACCATCTCCACTCAGGAAGGTTGGTGGCTCTAAAATTCCCCAGTGGGAATAGTTAGAGATTCTTATTTCTCAGTTGGGGTCCTTCTTTTTTTCAGTTTCCTTGCCTTGAAAATGAGTTTTGTGAAGTGAGTTGTAAAAATCATCTGGGAGAAAGATGATGCAATTCAACCAGGCCCTTTTTCCTTTGACCATCTCTGCGAAGTTTTTTCTGATGAGAAATGAGGACCTTTATATGAAAGAGGATTTATTTTTCAAAATTCCATACTGACGTTGCTTTAGCCACTTGTTTACAAGTTAAAAAAGACATATTAAGAGAAAAATCCTGCATAGTCACAAGAAAAAGAATATTTTAAAATATGTAAGACTCTCAGGCAAAGGCAGATGTGAATGAAATTGATTGCTGGGAAAATATTGTTGAAAGAAAAATCTTCATCAGGGTTCAGTCCAAGCCAGGAATAAACAAAATGGAGACTGCTTTAGAAAGAAGGTTGTAGTTTATTGAAGAGCAGAGCCAGACAGAAGCATGGCTCTGGGAAAGCTGACCACATGTAGCTGGGAGTGATGGGTTTTTATACCTTCTTGGGCTTTTGTGTTTGGAGTTGTTTCTTTTTCCTATGCCATGATTTTTGATCCGAGCTTTTGAGTTTGTCCTTTTTGGTATTCTGATAGTGTGGGTTAATCCTATTATGTCCTAAAGGTCATATTCTGCTTCTCTGGGGCTGTGGCTGATGACTATATGCGGTATTGGATTTTTTAGGTGAGGAGTTATTGGTTCTAGGAATCTTTGTCTTTCTAATCCCATCAGCTCCAAGCTTCCTGGCTACAGTCTTTCTGAAAGGATGATCACATCTGCATTTCTAAAAACTGGCCTGCTTGGTTTCTGCCTGGGGGAGGGAGACTTGGGGCTCTCTTTGCCTAAGATATTTTATATTCCTTTGGGGAAATATAATATTCTATCCCTTTTAATACCCCCCCCAATATTTCCTTCTCTAGGAGAGTGGGTGGGTGCTGACTTCCAACAATATAAAAAACAGCAACCAAAAATAGATGGAATTGTCCGATCTCAGATGATGCATTCAGGGAAGAGATGATAAAGTTGGACAAGGTAGACAGAAGGAGAAAAGGCTGTTGGAGGTGGATAATGATGTTTCTTTCATATCTCTTATTTGCAGATGCAAAAAAATGCACCAGATGTCCAGAGGATCAGCATCCAAATGAGAAACAAGATCAGTGCATCCCCAAGATCATAATTTTCCTATCCTACGGAGGACCTCTGGGGAATATACTGGTTTCATTTGCCCTGATCTTGTCTTTAGCCACAGTGCTTGTGTTAGCAACCTTTATAAAACACTTGGAAACTCCACTAATCAAGGCCAACAACCGGGACCTCTCTTTCATCCTCCTCATGTCCTTATTGTTCTCCTTCCTGACCTCCTTCCTCTACATTGGCCAGCCAAGTAAAGTCACTTGTCTTCTCCGTCAAACTTTTTTCAGCATTGTCTTCTCAACTGCTGTTTCCTCAGTCTTAGCCAAGACAATCACAGTAGTGTTGGCCTTCCTGGCCACAAAGCCAGGCAACACCATGAAGAGGTGGCTGGGGAAGTCTCTGGCCAACTCCCTTGTTCTTTCTTGCTCTGGGATTCAAATTCTCATTTGCTCTATCTGGTTAGGAGTCTCTCCCCCCTTTCCTGACTCTGACTTCCACTCCCAGTTTGGAGAGATTATCTTGCAATGCAATGAAGGGTCTGTTGTCATGTTTTATGGAGCCCTGGGCTACATGGGCTTCCTGGCTGTCATTAGTTTCATGGTGGCTTTCCTGGCCAGGAAACTCCCTGGAGCCTTCAATGAAGCCAAGTTGATCACTTTCAGCATGCTGGTCTTCTGCACTGTCTGGATCTCCTTTGTGCCCGTCTACCTAAGCATTAAGGGGAAAATCATGGTGGCCGTGCAGGTTTTCTCCATTTTGGCCTCCAGTGCTGGTCTGCTGGGCTGCATCTTCATCCCCAAGTGCTACATTGTTATCCTGAGGCCAGATCTCAACACAAAGGAGCAGCTTATATTAAGAATAAAGTAAGAAGGTAGGGGTTGCCTTTTTTTTTTTGCATTTTAAGATAATAATTTAGGATTCCTCACGACAAAACAAATTTATTTTTTGTTTTCCATTTTGAAAAACTCAACCTGCCATCTTTAGATTTTTGGGATGGTGATAAAAACAAAATAGAGACTGAACAATTCCCTTCCAAATTATTATTATTATTTTTTTACAAAATTAGAGCTCAAAATGTATCACTCTATATTACAAAGTTTTTTTGGTTTTGGTTTCTCATTCCCAAGAATTATGCTTATTTTTGCTTAACATTTTCCTTGTCATTTATTTACAGTTCAATAATTTCTACCTTACAGCTTCGGGATACCATCACACAAAAACACAAACAAGCATGATTACATCTGAACAACTTTTTTCTGATAAGTAAAACTAAATGAAAGTGATCAAGGAAAATAAAATTAATAAAATGAATATAGTTTACATTGTGTTTGCCTTTTTTTTTGGTTTGCTTGTGCTTTCCCCATCTAGAGTCCATTGAAATTCAAGCAGTCTGGAAACACTGTTAGTAAATCCAGATATATTCCCTGTTGCTGAGAAGTCATTGAGGCTAAGAAATGATTTTGGCCTCCACAGTTGACCAGATTCTGAGACACAAATTTCCATTCTCTTTCCAGCATATTCTATATTAGTGGTGGTGAACCTATGGCACGGGTGCCAAAGGCGGCACGCAGAGCCCTCTCTGTGGGCACGCATGCCATCGCCCCAGCCCTAGGCCTTCAGCTGGGTTTTATAAAACCTTTTCGCTTTAGGCCTCTGCCACCATGTACAAAAAAAAAAGGTTCAATCAATTAGTCAATTTCAACTTCTCATGGGAAAAAAAAAGATCTTGCAAAGTTGGAATTGATTGATTGAACTTTTTAGTCCCACCCAGTCTGCCATTACCACCACAGCCATGCCCACCCAATGGGCCACAGCCAGCCAATGGGCCACAGCCAGCCAATGGGCCACACCCACCGGCACCCGACGATGCATAAGTGGGTTTTGGGTTGCAGTTTAGGCACTCGGTCTCTAAAAGGTTCACCATCACTGTTCTCTATATACTGCACGACACAAAGGGTGTCTTAGGACCATTTGAAGGGGGATTTTAGGATCATATGACAGGGAATTGGGGGGGGATTCAAAAAGTTCAATCTCCTTGGAGAATTTCTAAGCAGAGGGAAGAGCTGAATAAAAAAGTTACACACACACACACACACACACACACACCATATAGATCAATTTTGTGCATTTTATCATAGAAGAATTTGCTTGGTCCTACCTGAGGAACCAGCTCTTGTAGAACATGGAGAGGGCAAGCAAGCCCAAGATGCGGGTGGAAATCTTCTGAAGGAAGCCCCCACAGGGGGCTACTCAAATGGCTTCCTGCCCTCCCCATTCACAGCCCTTGGTATAACAATAATAATAACAACAGCAGCAGCAGCAATAATAGCAATAATGGTAAGAATGACTATAACAATAACAACAACAATAATATTGGTAATAGTAATAGTAGTGATAATAATAGCAGTAATAATAGCAATAATACCAATACCAATAACAACTATAACAACAATAACATAACAATAGCAACCTATAATAATAGTAATAGCATAATAATAGCAATAAAAATTACTATAACAATAACTATGACAACTATAATAACAGTAATAATAACAATAACAATAACAACTATAACAATAATAAGCAATAATAGTAGTAGCAATAATAATAGCAATAATAGCAATAATAATAGCAATAACAATAACAATTATAACTATAACAATTACAAGAAAACAACAGTGGTAGTAGTAGTAGTAGTAATAATAATAATAATAATAATAATAATAATAATAATAACAACAACGACGATGACAACAACAACAACAACAACAGCCATAATAGGATGGATTCCCTTGTCAAGAACTGCCTACCTGTTGCTAGGCAGAACATCCCTGGCTCGGCTTTTGCTGAGGGAAATAGCTTCAAAAAAGATGGGAAAAACTCCTGAGGGGAATCGTCCTTCACTGTTGTTCCATCTCATTCTGTCCATCAATCTGAACCCTCCTGATACTTATATGGGGCCAATTGGCCATTTTCATGAGCAAAAAGCAGGCCCGGTGTTGGATGTGTGGAAAGCAGGTGCTTCCAAAAGTCTCATTTCCAAATAAGGAAGCATTCCTGCCCCTGCACCGGGCTGAGATGCTCCCTTTGTGTCCCATCATCCACTCCTCCTTCTCCAATCCTTCAGATTTTATTCCTTTCTTGGATTGTTGTAAAAAGGAAGGCCAATGCATGTCACATTTTTGTTTTCTTCTGCGGGCTGAAAAACACATCTCTTTTTTTCCTCATGCTCGCAAAAGATGGAGCTGAGGGTGAACTTTCATTCTCCAAACTTGTGGGTTGGTTTCTGAACATTTCATTACCAGGCTAGGTAACATCTTCAGCGGCTTTTAGATGTCTGTGTCAGTGCTCTTCTATTTATAAGGGCTTCAGATGTGGGTGTGTTGAGTGAGGGTCTTGTGATGAATCATCAGAGAGAGGTTTGTGATGGGTCTTGTAATGGGGAGGTTGCTACTGGTCAGAGTCATTGGAGGATGTGAATTATCAGTGGGTCAGGGGTGAGTTATCAGCGAGAGATGGAGCTGCTGGGGCAGGTAGGGGCTGCCAGGGGCATTAGACTTCCTCTAGCATCACTTTCTAGACATGTCTTGACAGGAAGGACGACAACTGCCATAGAACAGTGCCTTCAGGCATGTCTCTGCAATTTTTCACTAACCTGCTTTTCTCCACCTACCCCTCCTCACACAGAACCTTGGTAGAAGTTCAGGATCCAGTCCCGAGAGGAGAATTTGGTTCTAACTGTAATTATCACCATCCTAGTCTCTGAAATGTCTGCAACTTCTCCTGTGGCTGCATTTGATGTAAACATCAGACTGAAGCAATACAGAAGCGATTTTGCAGACAAAAGGATAAAGGCTTCTAGTCATGTTGAATGTTTTGCATGAACTTTAGGAGAAGTAGAGGTTATGCTGTTGAATGTATCTTTTTCTCCTGTCCATGTGAAGCTTGGTGTGTCTCTGAATCAGGAAAGCCACTGGCATTTCCATTTTGTGACAGTGATTTCAATTCTTCTGACTTCTTGTTGTTTAGATACAGAGAAGTGACTGATTCAGCCAAAGGGGCATGGACCTCCTGCTTTTGCTTATGATGATATTCCTTGGGCTGACCCAGAAAAACTCTGGGAGGCTCAGAAACAAATGCCCCCTGACTTTGAAGAAGCAGAACAAAGGACATGCCTGGAGCTATTACAGGCAAGGAGACCATATCATCAGCGTGGTTGTCACTGCAACAAAATCTTTGGCTCAGCCATTACAATTCAATGGGGCTCGTTACATTTCTTCTCCTCCGTAAGTCATGTACTACGATGGAGTTGCATTCCGTCTATTTGTATTTCTACCGTTCTTCTTTCTTTCTTCCTATTCCACTTATTCCTAACTTGCAGGACATGTGTAAGTTCTTACATCCTTTTGATTTACAGGACTTAGAATAGAAGACTAGAATAATAATTTTATTGTCACTTTGAATGTATCCTGATCGGCATACATTAAAATGAAATTTTGTTGCATACAGCACTTAGAGCAGTGGTTCTCAACCTTTTTAATGCCGCGACCCCCAACCGGTCGTAAGTCGAGGACTACTCAACTGGTCGTAAGTCAAGGACTACTCACTGGTGCAGCACCGTTTGCAGAATGGGACTTTTGGCGGGCTCAGCAGGGCAGAGACAGCCTGGACAATTCCTATTGGCTTTTGAAAGCCAATAGAATTAGACTTTATTCAAGAGAGTCTATTCTATTGGCTTTCAAAAGCCAATAGAATAAAAGGGAGTAGCACAGCTAAGGAAAAGGGGGAAAAAATGGCGGACTGCGTTGTTTGGCGACCCCCGTGAAATGGTCGTTTGACCCCTAATGGGGTCCCAACCCACAGGTTGAGAACCGCTGACTTAGAGGGTCACCACCTCTGATATACACTACATAAATATGTCAAAAATAAGTACAGTTCTTCGTCCATCGAGTTCGCTGAGGGCCTTGACATCTTGTGGATTATGGGCCATCAACGATGTGTCCGTAGGTGGCTGCTAAGACCGATGTTAGCACGGAATGTTCTGCCACATTGTCAGAATTAGGGAAATAGGGAAATGGGGAAAGTCAAGATGTCAAGACTTGCGCGTGGATTGGATTTAAGTGAGGGAGAAGTGCGCATAGTCAGTTTCACTCTCTCTTCCCAGATCTATCAACGGTCATGAAGGCAGTTTCTGCAAGCGATGTGGTATGCTGAGAGCACGGCAAGACACGAAAGATGTCCTGGTCAACCACTGCGCCCAGCCTATCTCCAACTGTCTCAAAAATAAGTAAATAAATACAGAATTATGCATATACCCACATATATTATATGACACAGAGAAACAACAGTCTAGTTTGGGTTATGTATACATGTGCATGGTGAGAAAAATGAATCTTACCAGATGGATGGCATAGGGAATAAAGCTATTACAGAATCGGGTAACTTTTCCCTTTAGTCTGATCTTCTGTGAGAATATCATATGCAAGGATGGGGCTTAAGAAACCCTTAAAAAGCCCAAGAAAGGGAGACACGGGAGTCCAGAAGATCTTCTCCTCCTCTTCCCATCCTGAATTTACCCCTTGAATACTAATTTTTGATTCATATAGTTACAGAAAGGATTGTATTTGCCTCTGCCCACCCCGTATTAAATGCCTACTCCTTATAGAAATACAAGATATTTATTTTTTAGAATTGCTTTGCTGGCCCACTTATTCACCCATGTTCTTGCTTTCATGGTGGTTCTATTTTAATAATTGAGTAATTTTTTGAATCCTGGTTATTGGACAAATGAAAATCAGAGCTACAGGTTGTCCTCAATTTACAATTCACAATTGAGCCCAAAATTTATGTTGCTAAGTGAGAAATTTGCTAAGTGAGTTTTGTCCCATTTTATGATTTTTCTTGCCAATTTGTTAAGTGAATCACTGCAGTTGTTAAGTTAGTAACCTATTTTCCAAAGCACCTGAAGCCCAGACAAGGAATAACGGATGGAAACTGATCAAGGAGAGATTCAACCTAGAAATAAGGAGAAATTTTCAGACAGTGAGAACAATCAACCAATGGAACAGAAGTTGCCTTCAGAAGTTGTGGGTGCTCCATCACTGGAAGCTTTCAAGAAGAGACTGGACTGCCATCTGTCAGAAATTGTGTAGGGTCTCCTGCTTGGGCAGGTGGTTGGACTTGATGACCTACAAGATCCCTTCCAACTCTGTTATTCTGTTCCATTCCGTTCCGTTCCGTTCC